TGAGTGGTCCATTTTCATTTAATTTTTCCAACTGGACCACTCAGATTTTGACACGTGTGCGCGTGTCTAAATGTTGTCAAAAATGGTTGTTCAAGTATCATTTTCCTTTCATATATAAATCATGAGGGTAGCTCCCATAGACACTACAAATGTATTCAAAGATATTTTCATCACATTCTGTGGATCTTTTCAGAAGGTCTTGGGTCAATATACATAATACTGGAACTTCATTAGCATCTTTAAATCCAATCTGTCTTGCTGCAACCACATCAATTAAATAAGATAGTGAAAACATTATATAACATACCTTACCCTTGTGTACACGTGTCTTCACATTATGCATTATAACCCTTGAAGAAAACCTGTTTTAAGGTTGTTATACTTGGAACTTTTCCAATAACTAAAAGACAAACTAATATTTTAGTGTCTCTTTACATATAATAAATATTTACTTTTATATATTTAAATTTTATAATAAATAAATATTATTTTCACAGGAAATAATTAAACATTTCTGAGACAAAATCAAAACCTATTTTTCTAAATAATTAATCATATTTTTAGACAAAATCAAAATCTATTAATTTTTAAAAATATTTATAGAATAGGTCATTAAAAAAAGAAAAAAGAAAAAACTATAAAGACATTTTCCTTCTCTCCTTCTTTTTTCTGAATTCTTCGCTCTATCTTAAAGTGTGTGCATTATCTGCTGTTAACTTGATGTCACATTAAACAAAATCTGAAATATACTTGACGTGAATGGTACAGATTTGAGGGTATTTATTTTTAAAATATGTCCAGAAAACAAAAATTAACCACAATCCAAAAATTATAGCTTTTTGGAAAAAGGTATCCATTTTAATGTAGAAAATGATTGTAGACACACTAAAAAAGTGCATGAACATTTAATATAAAAAGAATAAAACATAATAAATTTATACATGAACATTGAATAAAAATATAATAAAAAAATAAATTTATAAGTTAGGTAAATAGGAAGATAGATAAATTGAAAAAACAAATATATAATAGAGAATAGATGTACATAAAATCATGATGTATGTGTATTTTTTTTTTAATTAATTTCATAGGTGAAAATAGGGAAATTGAAAGTCACAAATTAAAAGTTATACCAACATAGTGGGAGAACTTTTCAATCTCTGTAAGACGGTTAGATTTCGTCTTTTTTAAGAGTGGAATCAACTTCTTTTGCTCTCTAACTATCCTCTCACGTCGTTGGTAGGTTGTGGCTACGGCAACGACAATTAATCTGGCAGCTAAAACTTGTAATACTTCATTTTCTTCAAAACTCGAATCTTAATTATTAGTTTAGGTTTACAGACGTTGGAGGCAAAACTGGCAAAAGAATCTATTAATTTGGTTGCTTTATAACTATAATTTAAGCACAATCTACTTGTTATCCTTGGCATACATAAGCATATGCTTCAAAACAGCAGTTGGTTTAATCAACTTCACCACTATTACAGGAAGTAACGTTTATTATTTTCTTAATCAAGCTTTTATATATTTTTTTAAATAGACTCAACCTTTATTCTGTTATATTGATATTTATATTTTTTTTATAAATATCACATGTCAAATTATAGTATTTTTATTTTATAATTATTTATTTATCATTTTTGTTTATTTTTAAGTTTTCTTAACGTGTCGGTCTGGTTAATGTTATTATAATGTTATCAATGTCTTATAATTTATTTTTTATATTTATTCTTTTACTTAATTTTTTTTATTTTCTTGACCTTATTTTAGTTTTTATGTATGTTCATGTTTTGTAAAATATATTTTATTCCTTCCAAAGATTGGAATTTCATAACTCTTGACTAGAAAAAAAATGTTTTTCGAAATCACCTAATAGATTTTGATTTCAAGAAAAAATAAAATCTTTGAAAATACGATAGTATTTTTGATTTTTTTTCACAACTATAGGTTTTGATTACGTGTTTTTGGTTATTTAAAGAATCAAAAGTCTAAAGTTATTACAAAATTTCAAAAATATTATTATTTTTTT